ACATATTTTATATACGATTATATATAATTATATTAAAAATTGACATATTTTATATACGATTATATATAATTATATGAAAATATAATTATATAAAAATTGTATAAAAATATATCCATATAACATTTTTTCCCGAGTATACTTATAGTCAAATAGTTATTTTATAACTTTCAACGAAAGATATGTTGTGATAGAACATATAATCAATTTATATACTTATCTATAATATTTTTAACATGATTCCATAACATGAATCTTATTTAAAAAAATAAAATGACCTTTTTTTCTTTCGCAGATTATGAACGATATATAAATAAAATTTACAGGCTGTATCAAACTTTCTATTAAAAAAATAAATAATGAAACTCAACACACATTGATGTACAATTATTTATTTTTATCTAGGAAATTATCGCCATGTACAAAATGAATATAAATAAATGTATTAGGTGCTTTAACGTTTGATACGGCTCCGTAGTAAGTTTTGCATTAACGATGTCACGTATATCTACCGAAATACATATATGAAATTGATAAACATGTAAATTAACACTAAATGCATATCTGCACCTAATCATCGCCTCTTACGGATCTTCTTCCGCATCTTCAAATTGACCCGCTTCGATGTCCATAGCTTCTTCTGCTTCTGTTCCTGTGTGAGTGGTCCCCATTTGCTCTGTTAATAATAAAAAATTGGAAGTCTATTGTTCGATATATCGACATTCAATTCATTTAATATTTATTTATTTAACATGAATTTCTTTTACAGTATAAATTGATAACCGTACATTACCATATTAAACGTATTAGTTCAAACATTGCGCTGAAGTTTAATCTGAAAGTTTAAACTTGAATAATATATATATAAATAAGCATACAAATTACCTGTCGGTAAAATACAAGGTGCGTCCCCAGCGCCCACTTCTTCATCATATTCACCTTCGTAATCTTCTTCAGCGTCTTCATAGATATCCTCTTTAATTATAGAAATTTTTAATCATCGCAGTTAGTCAGAAATAAAACTATTATCTTTCATTTCTAATTACCGTCAGAAAAACTGTCCTGTGGATCAGGATGAAGCGCTTGGCATGCACTCATTGCTTGAAACATTAAATCTAAATTATTTGTATTATCTGGCGCAAACTGCATTTCCGTAATTGGAGGATCCGCATTGTCGTCCTCATTTTCTGAACCATTTTCAGATGCTAACGGTAATGGCATATCTGCACAAATAAAATTATACATTAAGCTTATCAGAAAAATCTTTGAATTATATGAAAATATTAACATGAATTAGAATTCAAAGTTGATCAAAAAGTTCATAAAAATTCAATCATTTTCAATAAATATTCTTTGTATTTCCCAAATGATATACCTGGTAAATCTACTTTGGCATCGATCATAATGTATAAACATTGTCTTGGATGGACCTGTTCATCTCGTGAAATAGCGTGTAATGAAATGTGAGGATATTCAAGTGAAAATCCCTGTTGTGTATCGTTATCCACCCAGGAGAGCACGCTGCCAATAAGAATACATAAGAGTTTACAAAATATTTACAAATTATTCGTAATAGTAAATTAGAAGAAACTCATTACCTCTCTGTAACATAGAACGTGCCCTTTCCTACTTCTCTATCATTGATATATACTGTAGTGTTTGGCTCCTCATGGCGTATTCCTTCCTGCGGTGGCAGCAAGCTGCTGAGTACTACCATTTTTCAATCTGAAAATACAGAGTATTTCGTAGAAAAAACAAATATAATTGATTGAATCAGCTTTATGAATCAGCGTTTGCGATCATTGTTGCAACAATGATGTAGCAACGATCAAAGTTAGCAGCAGTTATCCAATCGACACCAACTGAAAATAATATAATGTCAATGTTATAATTATATATTCAACAACATAACCGTAGTTTTATGTGTCATATTACATTTATATTGTAGAATACAAAATTATAACATTGATCATGGATACATTTCTTGTATACAGCATAAGCATTTGTCTTTATCTAATATTTGATAAATAACAAAGATGAACTGATGTTTACAGCATGAAAACTGAAAGCATCCATTATATTATTTTTAATTGAAGTTAACTGAGTAGATTCTGTTTCTCTTAACAGCAGTTTTGTTATTATCGTTGCACAAGTATATGTAGTAAAAAATCTGTGTAACTATAATAATATAACGACAACGATATTATCGTTAAAAGTTGCAGAATCTAGCATGGAACAGAATTACGAGTCTGGTTACACTTGCATTGCGTATCTATACACATCAAATAACGTTACGTAGAAAACAAAACAAAGTAAATATATAATAAATATCGCCGATATTGAAGCCGATATCCAGGACCAAAAGTCATACGGAATCATTCTCGACGTGCGCTGTCAGAGCGTTTCGCGTGTAAACACTTTGTGAAAACACAGTGATCGCGTGAGAACGAATGACGGATCTCCATTCTGCGCCCGAGAGATCCGCGATTCGTAAACACCGGTGTGTTCGCGGCCATCCGGCGCTTTCTAATAATTCTAACCAAACGACAGGACTCACCGTTCTCGATTACTTTGACGAGACAATTGTCTACGAGACGAACCGAACGCGAACGTTCGGCGGTGGAGATGATGTTCCTCGCGACGTACGCGGAAGCGAATCCCCGGATACTCGCACTCGTCGTCGATGGTCGTAGACTACCACAAACGCGGCTGTCACAAATTGTCTGAAGTCTGAAGTCTGAAGTTGCCTGCGACACTCGCGACATGCACCTCGGCGCGCGCGCGTACGCGAATCTCCGTTCGACCGACAGTCGCGTGCCACGTCTGGTTAACAAGATACATATTGATGTCCGTTTCTATCATGGATTAACTTCAATTCCGATACAACTCAAGTACTTTTCATCTTTCGCTAATTTTTAAAATTAGAAAAAAAAGAGTAAATTGAATCGAGTTAAAGTTGATCTACATTAGTAAAAATGAACATAAATCTTCTACAATTGTGCGTAGAAAAAAAATTTACAAGCTTATCAGAACAACAGTTATTATGATATCAAAATGATGTCAAAATGATCATAATTAAAAATCATTTTTCAATTATTTCCGATTCGTTTTAATGTCATTTTGACATTTCGTAACTTGTTGTTCTGCTTGGATAATGAATTCGGTCATCTGCATTATATTTGGTTAGTGCTCTGTTATACATAAAATTCGCAAAGTTGAATATAAAAGCATAATAGCATATAAATATTTTAAAGTTTAAACTTTATCTTATAATAATTATCTTATAATAATAATCATATTATTTATAGTAGAATCTAGCTGATAGAATATATAATAATAATCGTACTATTTATAGTAGCTCTCTAACTGGAATATACACATGCATTAATTTCATTGTCAAAATTGATTTTGTATTATGCCATTATATGCTACTGCATTTAGATACTATATAAAAGCAGCCTTTTTTAAATGTACTATAATTCAATATATAATATGTGCGAGTAATCGAATTCATCATTATATTAATTTTATACAATTTAATTACGAATATGCTACGACGTTCCGTTTGAGTACTTATATTATTACATTTAATACATGCATTATATATGAAAGCACGCGATATCTGTTTAATTCCTTGAAAAATATTATTAATAAGTAGGATAATCAAAATGTGCATAGGGCATTTTTTTTGTTTGACTAATAAAGAAATAAACTAAATACAAATTTGTTTCAAGAAATTATGCATTTTGAGCCCTAAGTATATGTTACAGCATATTTTGCATATTTCACACACACACATAAGAGCATATTTTTGTATTAGGTGTTGGAATTAATTCGTAGCGTTTTTAATGAAAGAATGTTATTTATTTCACATGAGCATTAAAAAATACATTAATGAAAGTACTTCCCATCACTTGTAAAACGCTACGAATTAATTCCAACACCTAATATATTTCACACATAAAAATATATTTTTGCATATTTCGCTTACACATGCACAATATTTACAAATTTTATATATTTTATTGTATATTTCATATCGTTTTCTAATTTAAGTTTATGATTAGTTTTTTTCTGATATAATAATAAATAGGATTTCTAAGATAAGTTTTTCTCAATCAAAAATATGCTACAACATATTTTATATTTTTGGAAAAGGAATTAATTAGATAAATGATTCCCACACACCACAATGCATTGGTGCGCAGATGTCAGAGAAATCACAAGGAAAAAAAGATTTCGCGCTTTTTACGTTCAATCTTCTATATTTCTGTCATACAATATATAACATTTCTTTCTTTCTCTCTCTCTCTCTCTCTGTCTCTAAAGTCACTATAATAAATAATATGTATTTGTTTAATTTTAATGTCCCGTAAGACTAATTAAATTTTTTAAAAATGTAAACAAATTTTATCAAATTCATTTTACTTTGTTATTATAAGTAAAAAACTTAATTGATAATTTGAAAATTTGTGCGATAAAAAATAATTTTTAAATGCATATATTTCTTTCTTTAGAGCATTTTTTTCAATTTCATAGAGCATATTTTAGAGTTTAAAAAGGGATTTTTACAGCATAATTTTAGTTATCTTATTAATAAGTATCAAATCAGTTCATTACTATTTCTTCCTCTTCTTCTTCTCAAAGAATTACAGATCAACACAAACACTGAAAAATTTATTTTATCGCAATGCATTATATAAATCAAGAAATGACAACATAATTTTACATATTGCGTCTTATTTTATGTAATACGACTTTATTCGTATGTCTCATGTAACATATCTACATACAATAAGATATGCATAGTAGTTGAGCGCGATTCCGCATTGCTATTATTGATGCGCCATCGCACGAGCGGCGTAGCGGAGTCACGTCGTCGACCGCGACGCGGAATCAGCGGAATGTGGGGAACGACGGTCGTTTATTTAACGTTGCAGCCTTGCCGCGCGACGCCGTTTATATGGAACGGCGGCGACGGAAGCAGCGTGTATGCGGGATAGTCGCGTGGAAGAGGCGCGACCGTCCATAAATCTGGTTATACAGACCTCATTATCCCCAGTAGAACACAGAAGTGTTATAATAATAAGGAGCTTTCCAGCAAGAGACACAAATCGACACAAGAGTCATCCAACATCCTATCCTTCTTCGATAATTAGTAAGAAACAAGTAACACAGTAACAAAGATAGATCCCATAATTAATATATCATAAGGACATCATCATGATCTAGCTTATTTGTCACTTATATAAATTCATTTTTAAGTGACAAATAACATTATGATGATCATTATGCTTTAATTATGACTTACGATATTACAGTGTTCTATCTGGATCTCTGTTTGTGATATAAATCTGCTTGTGAATAATCTCATTCGAGACTCATTCGAATTAATGCATGCGCGCAACTTCTGCTCCGGCGATCTACCGACCTGCAAACTTGATAACAAGATTTTTTTTTGATAAACGAAACTTGCAAGCGGATCGACGAAAGCTGTTAAATATTATAATTACATATTTATATCACTCGGTTATACTACCCAATATATCTATTCGGGAATTTTTACGTTTAGATCGATCTCGATCAAGTAACTGTATATTGAGTTTTGCAAAATATTATAATTTGCGATTAGAAGGAAATATATCTTTTTATTGATTAATTTTTTTACACTGATGCTTTATCTAAAGCAAATAAATAATAATAAGTTATATTGACTATAAAGTTTTTCTTAATTGTTCAAATAAATAGTGATGACTTTCTTTAAATAATTTTAAATTGCATGTAGCAATAAAATTATACTTAGAATTTCATTTGACTAGCTACGTTACTTGATGTTAATTAAACATCAATTGAGTCGAATTGCGGATGTGAACTATTATTAACGCCGTATAATTAGTAAGCAAATTCGTAATAATATTTTTACAATGTACAATTATTAATTAATAGTATGTACAATTAATATAGTTGCTAATTATGATTTAAAATTATAATTAATTGTAATATTACTACTTTATCGATGGAATGAGGAAGTGTCTCGATTTGCCACAAAAACATGGCAGTACAATGCACTCCTGACGTGTCTAACCTAACATCTAACTGCCTCTAACTAACCTATAAAAAATTTATGTGTAGCTTTGCAATGACTTGTGTCTATAAGTTTATTCGTGATTATTGATTTCTCAACTTATAATTAATTATTGACTGAAGAACACTTCTCTTTCAAAGGTATTAAATACACAAATAATAATTATTGATTGAATGTTATTATTAAATTGTTAATATATGTATTTAACATGTAAAATAAATGCCAGTAATTTTGAAATATAATTATGCTAAGATTTTATTGTTATTATTCACTTTGTAGTATACACGTGATAAATTATATCTGGAAATGAGCTTATTTGTTATAAACAGGTAAGAAATATAAATCTTGTCAAATGATCATGTTGCATGAGATATAATAATCTCGAAAATTATTATTCATTAATTTTATTTATGCGGTAGAATATGTGTATTGTATACATTTAATGTAGAATATATGTATTGTATACAGATATGAAGATGGATATGAAGAAACTAAGAAGGAGGTTGACAATAAAATAAATCATTTTTCCAAACTGCTGAAGAGAATAGAAGAGCGTAAAAGACAAAGGGCAGCAGCAAATAATAAATCCACACTAAACAAAGATGAAAACAATTTAGAGGAACCTAAGAAAAAGAAAAAAAAGAAATTGCTTGAAGCAGAAAAAACTAATGACTTATATATTGAGGACAAAATTGTTAGCAATGAAAAAATTGATGAACAAACAATAGAAATAACTAAAGTATCAACAAAGAAGAAGAAGAAGAAGAAGAAGAAAGATATTGAAGATGAAGTTGATTCTGTTGCAACAGACAATAATACAGATTTAGAAGAAAAAGATAAGAATTTAGCAGAGGAAAATAATGATGATAAAGATATTACAAACAAGGAAATACCCTCGCAAAGCAATTTTATAATATTAGGCGCAAAATCTCGAAAAAAGCAGCGTGAAGTGAAGAGAGTGTTACCAGATTGGTTGGCACATCCTGAAATTATATCTGCTGATTTAAATAGTGGGCCTCCATTGGAAGAATTAGAATCAGTTTTGGATGCAAAATTGATAGAAGTTTTAAGAGCCAATGGCATTATTAAATTATTTCCAGTCCAATCTAACATAATAAAATGGTTACACAAGTGTAACATGCATAGAAAAATAGGATGGTGGCCGAAAGACACTTGTGTATCTGCTCCTACAGGCAGTGGTAAATATTTGCAACAACAATGATAATAATTATGCAATTATTAATTACTGATTAAAAGTAGTATTATATATACTTCAATATTATTTTGTATTAAGTAATTTTATATAATTTTATAGGCAAAACTCTGGCTTATGTGTTACCAATTGTACAAGAATTACAAACACGATTCGTACCAAAAATTCGTTGCTTGGTAGTCTTGCCAGTGCAAGAACTAGCTGCACAGATTCATAAAGTAATGGTCACTTATACTTCTCACACAGATCTGAAGGTGGGCTTACTTTCGGGTGCATCTTCATTTAAGCAAGAGCAAAATAGTATAATTAAAAAAAGTATGTATTTGATACTTAATGAATTAAATTGATATAAATATATAATGATTTAATAAAAATTATTTTTAAAGCTGAAAGGGGGCAATAC